TGACCCCAGGTGACCCCAGGTGACCCCGGGTGACCCCAGGTGACCCCGGGTGACCCCTGTGTCCCCAGGTGGCCGTGCCCAGGTGAACCAGGTGGTCACTCTGACCCCAGGTGGTCACTGACCCCAGGTGACCCCAGGTGACCCCAGGTGGTCACTGACCCCAGGTGACCCCAGGTGACCGTTCTGTCCCCAGGTGGCCGTGCCCAGGTGAACCAGGTGGTCACTGACCCCAGGTGACCCCAGGTGACCCCAGGTGGTCACTCTGACCCCAGGTGACCCCAGGTGACCCCGGGTGACCCCAGGTGACCCCAGGTGACCGTTCTGTCCCCAGGTGGCCGTGCCCAGGTGAACCAGGTGGTCACTGACCCCGGGTGACCCCGGGTGACCCCGGGTGACCCCTGTGACCCCTGTGTCCCCAGGTGGCCGTGCCCAGGTGAACCAGGTGCTCGCCCACCCCTGGCAGCCGCTGACCATCACGGCCAGCGATGACGGCGCCATCCGCTACCTGGACAACCGCACAGGTGGGCCTCGTTAGCCTCATTAGGGTCATTAGTGTCATTAGGGCAATTAGGGGGTCATTGGTGTAATTAGGGAGTTATTAGGGGGTCATTAGGGGTAATTGGTGTAATTAGGGGGTCATTAGTGTAATTAGGGGTCATTGGTGTAATTAGGGAGTTATTAGGGGTAATTAGGGGGTCATTGGTGTAATTAGGGGGTTATTAGGGGGTCATTAGGGGTCATTGGTGTAATTAGGGGGTTATTAGGGGGTCATTAGGGGGTCATTGGTGTAATTAGGGAGTTATTAGGGGGTCATTAGGGGTAATTGGTGTAATTAGAGGGGTCATTAGTGTAATTAGGGAGTCATAGTGTAATTAGGGAGTTATTAGGGGGTCATTAGGGGTAATTGGTGTTATCAGGGGGTTCATTAGGGTAATTAGGGGGTCATTGGTGTAATTAGGGAGTTATTAGGGGGTCATTAGGGGTCATTGGTGTAATTAGAGGGGTCATTAGTGTAATTAGGGGGTCATTGGTGTAATTAGGGAGTTATTAGGGGTAATTAGGGGGTCATTAGTGTAATTAGGGGGTCATTAGTGTAATTAGGGAGTTATTAGGGGGTCATTAGGGGTAATTGGTGTAATTAGAGGGGTCATTAGTGTAATTAGGGGGTCATTGGTGTAATTAGGGAGTTATTAGGGGGTCATTAGGGGTCATTGGTGTAATTAGGGGGTTATTAGGTGGTCATTGGGGTAATTGGTGTAATTAGAGGGGTCATTAGTGTAATTAGGGGTCATTAGGGTAATTAGGGGTCGTTAGGTAATTAGGGAGGTCATTAGGGTAATTAGGGGTCGTTAGGGTAATTAGGAGGTCATTAGGGTAATTAGGGGTCGTTAGGTAATTAGGGAGGTCATTAGGGTAATTCGGGGGTCGTTAGGGTAATTAGTGGGTCATTAGGGTAATTAGGGGTCGTTAGGGTAATTAGGGGTCATTAGGGATAATTAGGAGGTCATTAGTGTAATTAGGAGGTCATTAGGGTAATTAGGAGTTCATTAGGGTAATTAGGAGGTCATTAGGGTAATTAGGAGGTCATTAGGGTAATTAGGAGTTCATTAGCGTAATTAGGAGTTCATTAGGTAATTAGGGCTCGTTAGGGCCCGCTGACCCGCCCCTCCCCCAGGCTCGGTGGTGCACTCGGTGGTCGCTCACCTGGACGCCGTCACCTGCCTGGCCCTGGACAGCAGCGGCAGCGTCCTGATGTCCGGCAGTGAGTGACCAATGAGTGACCAGAGTGACCAGAGTGACCAATGAGTGACCAATGAGTGACCAGAGTGACCAATGAGTGATCAATGAGTGACCAATGAGTGACCCTGAGTGACCAATGAGTGACCAATGAGTGACCAATGAGTGACCAGTGAGTGACCAATGAGTGACCAATGAGTGACCCTGAGTGACCAGAGTGACCAATGAGTGACCAATGAGTGACCAATGAGTGACCCTGAGTGACCAGAGTGACCAATGAGTGACCAATGAGTGACCAGAGTGACCAATGAGTGATAATGAGTGATCAATGAGTGACCAGAGTGACCAATGAGTGATCAATGAGTGACCAGAGTGACCAATGAGTGACCAATGAGTGATAATGAGTGATCAATGAGTGATCAATGAGTGACCAATGAGTGACCAATGAGTGACCAGAGTGACCAGAGTGACCAATGAGTGACACTGAGTGACCAATGAGTGATCAATGAGTGAACAGAGTGACCAATGAGTGACCAGAGTGACCAGAGTGACCAATGAGTGACCAATGAGTGACCAATGAGTGACCAGAGTGACCAGAGTGATCAATGAGTGATCAATGAGTGACCAGAGTGACCAGAGTGACCAATGAGTGACCAGAGTGACCAATGAGTGACCAGAGTGACCAATGAGTGAACAGAGTGATCAATGAGTGACCAATGAGTGACCCTGAGTGATCAATGAGTGACCGATGAGTGACCAGAGTGACCAATGAGTGACCAATGAGTGATCAATGAGTGACCAGAGTGACCAATGAGTGACCAATGAGTGATCAATGAGTGACCAATGAGTGACCAATGAGTGATCAATGAGTGACCAGAGTGACCAATGAGTGACCAATGAGTGATCAATGAGTGATCAATGAGTGACCAATGAGTGACCAATGAGTGACCAATGAGTGACCAATGAGTGACCAATGAGTGACCAATGAGTGATCAATGAGTGACCAATGAGTGATCAATGAGTGACCAATGAGTGACCAATGAGTGACCCATGAGTGACCCTGAGTGACCCCTGAGTGACCCTGAGTGACCCCTGAGTGACCAATGAGTGACCAATGAGTGACCAGAGTGACCAGAGTGACCAGAGTGACCAATGAGTGATCAATGAGTGACCAGAGTGACCACTGAGTGACCAATGAGTGACCAGAGTGACCAGAGTGACCCTGAGTGACCAATGAGTGACCAATGAGTGATCAATGAGTGACCAGAGTGACCAATGA